GCAGAGCCGGGGCAGGGCAGGGCTCTGCCACCCCTCTGCACAGGGCATGGCCGCCCCGGGGCTGCCACCGCCTCCAGCGCCTGCCCACCGGCTCATGCCCCGCTTGCTGCCCTGTCTCTACGCGGTGTTTTTAACTGAGGATTTCCCCCCATACCTGAAACCCTGCTGCAGGATTCAGCCCGCGAGCGTCAGTGTGTGGGTGCCAGCGTGTCCTGGCAAGAGTCAGGTTTGAAAAGGAAAAGTCACATCCACGTGCCAGCCCGTGGGCACGTCCGTTCTCCAGCCTGCGGCAGGTCGGGACGAGAGCCGTGGACGTGCCGGCGCCGCTGGCTCTGCCTGCCTGGGCACACCCCCACCAGGTTCGGCGCCGGCGCCTAAGGTCACTTTCTCTTCCATCGACAGCGTTCAGCACCCTCTCAGAATGAGTTATTGTCACATAAATAACTGCATCCGAACGAAGGCTGGGTATATATACTTCACTGTGATCGTTCAAGACAAAAGGAGACAAACAACAGCACACCCTCAGATAAATCTCTGAGGAAAAACCACGAAACAGACAGATGTGTATTAATTGCACAGGTTGAAAATCCTTTGGATTTTGTTGCACAGGCATTTCATTTCCAAACATAGAAATTCTTTCTGACAGTTTTTTAAACGTGTCGCATGCATATGCTGAAATAACTCTTGTTGCAATTTGTCGTCAGAGAGGGCTTCAAAATACTGCGATGAAACTGGAAACTGGTTCCGCCATCCCGAGAGCAACCGGACTTGGTCCAACTACACCCTGTGCAACTCCTTCACCTCTGAAAAATTGAAGGTATGCCACAGTGGCAAAGGCGGTGGTTGTTTGGGAATAGTTTTGGGCTGGGCTAACGGTAAGACGTGTATGAGAGAAGCCAGAATAGTCCTCATCTTTTAGTTCTGTTTGTTACACAAGACTTTATTGCGTTGTTCTCATGATTTTACCTTGTTAAATTATTTGATGAGTGCTCAAACCTAAACATAGGTTTGCTACAGGGTAGATAATTTAGTAGCAATTCATGCTACAGGTTTTGCACTGTTTTTCAAATGCATTTTTTAATTCCTGTGGTCTTCCGTGATTGTCCAATGGTTATAAAATGATCCTTTAGCATTTCAGTTTTACTTTCTGTAACAAGTATCTTCCAAGCTGTTGATGTCTTCTCTGCAGGGCTAGAAATATTAACGTAAGTTCAGATTATTTTTCTTAAACAAAGAATATCAGCCTGTACTCGCTCCCTTTGAAAAGGAATATTTATGAGGGTACCATTAATCCAGACAATCCTACAAGCCTGAACACATTTAACTTTTAACAGTTTGACTGAAGTCATTGAGACTATTTACAGTAATGAATTAAGCGTTTGCATCAGTATTTCCAAAATCAAGTTGCTAAGGTGAAAGAAGAGAGCTAAATATAAAAGCACCAAAAGAAACAAGGAGAGAGAAATCTCAGAAAAGCTTAATAAAAATTAAGTTAGGGAAGCTCATGAAAATAAACATATTTCTCAAATGTGAGTGGAGCTCCAGGAAAATCTGATTACAGATTTGTGGCAGAATAATTTGTGACTGTTTGGAATTGTGGAAGGAAAAGTCAAAAAGTTACTTGATTTGGGGTTTGTGTTGGAGGATCGTTTTTTATGCCGCCAAAAAGCAGTAAGTGGTTATATTTAGCAATGATCCAGCCCAAAGGGCCTTGGAAAAGTCTACTGGACGTGGCAGGAGGTGAATTCTAAAAGTTCTTGCAGCATGAAGAACCATCATGATAAAATAGGGCTCACCTATGTGACAAAGAGAATAATAGTAACAATCTGAGCTCACAGAGGCATTAAATGGAAGCACCATAAAAATATAATTTTTCCAGATGTTGGCCCATGTAGGGAGGCAAAAAATGTAGTTCTGTTACCTATTACCAAGGCCTTCCAGAAGAACAGTTTTGAACGTCATTCAAGCAAAGTGCAGATGGAACACAAAGGAAAATTGTGTGTACATGGAGATTCTTCCGAAACAAAAAATAATGGAAAATACAGACGGAATCTGTCTTTACAGAAATGCCAAGACAGATTATGACTTTTAATCCAAGTCTTCAAAAACAGGAGTATGCTTCATTTGTAGACTGTTTCCATGTACCTAAGGATAATATAATTAACCCAGCAGGAGGTATTCCTATTAGAGAATTCTCTTTCCTCAAGTCAAGAATTCTAGGGGGACAAAAAAGAATATTTAAGTGTTCATTTCAGAAGTTTTCTAAACCCAGAATGAAAAAAATCTGCATAGGCTAAAAATATGGTGAGTCAGCATGTTAAAAGTCTTTTAGGTGAGAAGGGACATGACAGGTTGCCATTTCACGGACTGCAGAAATTAATAAAATAGTTCATTATTTGTTTGATGTTAACTGGAAATACCAATATGCTGTACTTTTGAGACAGTTACCTCAGTGCAGCAGGAGCAGATCAGCTCATACGTGGAACACACATTTCATCTCTAGACCATGACTCGTGCTGTTTAATAGATTGCTGAGATTAAATGTGTGTTTAGAAAGAACCTTTGAAAGAAAAGAAATACAAAATGGGAGGTTGATTTTGTAGATTCTTCCTCAGTGAGAAAAAAAAAAACCCCGAATGCCTGCGAATTGTCCATGTTTGCCTTTTCTTTTTGTTAAATTGCAGATGGCGTTCATACTTTATTATATGGCGATCGTTGGCCATGCTTTGTCTATAACATCCCTGATGATTTCCTTGGCAATTTTCTTCTATTTCAAGTAAGTGTTTCTTACAGACACTCTTGTTTCCCTGGGGGATCTCAAGTGATAGCCAAAGAAAAGCTTGGAAGGGGACGTGGCAGTGAGAAACGGCTCTTCTGAGAGCCTTTCTGTGTAATCCTGGTAAAGAAGTCTCAGCGCAGGGTCCTCTCACCAAGAGGACATCTCCCAGTGGTGTGTGGCCAAGATCACGCTGTTAGATTCACCAAGACTGGTGTAAAAGTGCAGCCCCCATGGAAATGGTGTAACTGGGGATGCGTAAGGCCCGTCACTTACCAGTCGCCCATTGAAGGGCACGTCCAGCCCCGGCAGGCGCAGTGACGGCATGGGCAGTGGCCCAGAGCCCCCAGCTCCTGAAGAACAGGGACGCCTCCACCCGGCGCTGGAGGACCGAGCTGGTGAGTAGGTGCTCGCAGGGCTCAGCGCTAGGGGGGGGTCTGAGCCTGTCGCCACCCTTAAAAGGGAAGACGGCGATGTGCTGCGTCAGGGCTTTGAAGGAGCCTGGATCGGTTTCACGAAAGCGTTGCAGCTCCTGTGTGGCAGCTTCACTACAGCATTTAAATCTTGTCCTTCGGTGAACCCGTCTGTACGCTGGGTATTGTAGTGTGTCTGCCGTGAGGGAGCGGAGGGAGCTCAAGATTTGCCGTCAGACCTGTAGTCACAGTCTCAGTCGCAATCAGCAGTGAAGGGCTGTCCAGGAACAGCCCTCGGTTTTCAGCTCAGGGAAAAGCACTAGAAGGCATCAAGGGCACTTGACAAAATATTTAAGAATAAACAACAGACAAGATCCTGAGCTATTGTACATCCACAGCCAGGGTGACTTGCATACGTTATATTCTTCTAGCTCTTAAGCAATCTTCTTAGGGTATTTCACTTTCATAGCATTACTGTGAAGTGCAAACTTCCCGGGCTGGTAGCACGCTCAGCAGTCAGGGTGGTAATGTCCATTCGCAGATACGGTGAGGAACCACAAGGATACATCCAGTCTAGTGACCCACATGGGATGGTTGTCTTGCTCTAAAAATCTGCGGTGAAGGACCCTCCACAGAACCCCAGTGCTTAAATCAGTTCTAGCCTCAGCGTCCCTGTATTATTTAATGTAAATCTTAAGTGAGGTGCCTTAGCCTATTTCTGGTCCCAGTTTTGATCCGTATCTATGGCTATATTCAGGTTGCCTGCCTTCCGATAGCAGTTTTGTTAGTAACGTTATGCAAAGCTTCTCCCTGGTTATGTCATCTGCTGCTGGTCCCTGGGAAGATGCGCCGTGGATGAGGGTGTCCAAATCGGCTGGGAAAGGGTATGCTTAGTAAATAGGGAGGTGGGGTAGGTGGGATAACTCTTAGGGCTGTACAATTAGATGTCTGTGCCTTGACTGCCAGACAGGAAGGGTGGTGAAAGAAAGCCCCCAGTGTCACCACCACCAAGAGTGAGTCTAGGAAACACAGGAAGATGACGTGGTTGGACTTTGCATAGACCACAAGAGTTTGTAAGATTACAAGCTCAAAACAGGTGGATCCAAAATACAGGTTGTGAATTCTGCCAGAGAGGCAGTTCGATGAGTGACTGTGATAACGTGCAGTCATCAGCTACAGAGATAGCTGGAAACTGCCCAGTGAACCGATGAGTCCCCTTCCCGTACAGGTAAAGATAAAGAGCACAAAGCTACAGCCGCAGTAATGCTTTGAGAAGAGTAGGAAGAGCGCAGTGTAATCTGATTTGGAGTCCTATACCCAGGCTGCAGAGTTCTTCGGGGCAGTAAGGACAGGATCTGGTTAAACTGGCTGCCCGATGTGGACCAGGCAGGTGATTCCTTGCAGCGAGCGAGGCAGGATCAGGCCCTCTGAGTCACTCCTGGCGCTGAGTCACGGGCAGCGCACGATCCCGACCGATCCCAGGCCGTGCTGACAGGCTCATCTTTGCAGCAGCCTTCCAGACAGTAACACACCTCCTCCTCTCTCTCCTCCTCCACTTCTTCCCCTGCCATGACTAATCCATGGCACAGAGGTCACAGGAAGAAGTAGAGCTAGGAATTAAAACGAAGACCTGCAGAAAGAGGAGCCCACGCTACGATCACAAGGAAATGAGAGTAAAGCTGTATGGGAGCCGGGTTCACGTTACCTTCGGCTGTTCTGTCGTCTGGCTGTGACGGCAATAGCTTATTTGACCTTCAGTGGAAGGCAAGCTGTCAATCAGACAGTCGGATAGCAAGGGGTGGTTTCTGGACTGCGTAATAGCCTTTGACTGGAGAGGCAGCAACAAACAGCTTGCAGAAGTTGCTGTTTGCCACGTCTAAGACTTTCCTGGCGGAGATGTATTTTCCTTTCAGTCTTGGGTATCCAGATTCATAATGATCTGTCATCACAGATGTTGCAGCGCTTTCGGAAGGGAATACTGAATCAGTAGTGAAGAGCATCACTAAGCGATACTAACTCCTAACAGGAGACAGAGTATTCATAAAGTAGAGTGTCTTAACATTTACTTGCATCATCACGTTATTGCAATATTTTTATGATTGCAAACTGAGACGCCATTATCTCAGATGATAAAATACAAAAGAAAAAAGGGTCTCATAGCTCCAGATCACTTCCAATTGAATTATTAAAACAAAGGCATTTGTATAAAGACAGATGGGGAGTACAATAAGTCTAGATTTGCCAGAATAATAGATGGCGTGTTGTGAATGCACCTGCAGTCTAATGGTTGCCAGGGCTTTACAAGGGAGTTGAGGAAGGATAATGGGTGGAAGGACAATTTGTGGAAGTTTGTTGGGAGTTTTCCCCAGGGGTAAGGGAGAGCATGGTAGAAAGCATGAAAATAATTAGAAAACTAAACAAGTGTGTAGGAGATGGAAAATACCTGACTGGGGGTGAAAATCAGTATTCTCAGTGTTCATGAATGAGAAGAAATGACAGATTCACAGTGCAGATCTATGAAGAAAAT